TATAATCATGTGAGGAGTAGCGCATTATAACAGAAACGGCCAGAAAAGACTTTTAGTTTTTAAATTTTTGAGAAATAAGCTCAATATAATGTAAAGTATTTATTTAAAAAAATCTATTTAGCCCAGAGCCGGTTTGCCACCAGCTGACAGATGATGGCGCGTTTAAAACGTGCGACAGCAATGACGTATTCAATATGGCACCGAGAGACGATCGAGTAGTGTCCGAAAGTGGTGTTTCTATTATGCTGGTGAGCTCACTATATAGTGCTCTACTTCTCTTCCCCCTACATAGGGGGTAGGAAGTAGTGGTTTGAGTGGAGATTTCGGACACAGTAATTATGTTGGTCATACTTCCAAAAAGAATAATCTGTGATTCGGAATGCCAGTATCCACACCGCGCAGTGACTGACAGACACACACTCTCCTCAAACATTGTGTTTATCCACGCTGTGCCGTGTCATCGAGGGTGAAGTTGATAATTCCGCGAATGACTGCAATTGCAGATTTCGAACAGAGATGGCGACAAAGAGGAAAAACGCCGGACTGCAACTTTAAACTCAGAAATTAAAAACAGATTTGTATATAGTATACATAAAAAATGTATGTAAAAAGAACAAGACATATTTAAGATTTCCTACAAATTTTATAGCAATTAAAAAAAATCTAGGTATTACTGACCCCTTATGCAATACTTATAGACTCCATCTAATACTTATCGACTCAGCACAAGATTATGAGCATGACGTTATTATTTGTGGTCTACATTGTCCAGCAAATTTCGCTCAGTCATGCACTACGCCATGTTTCCGTTTGCTAAATTAAAACAGGTGGGTGTGGTGCTGGGTTCCTTTCTCTGGCCTTTTCTCAATCCTCATCAGTGAACTACAAATAGCCTGGAGGTGATGCACGTAGCATGTATCGTTTCCTTTTGGATGTGAACATTGTGCACAGTTACTGTACGTAAAGGGGCACAAGCCGGGGAGCCTCAGGCAATCGGAACAACCCACGAGATCCGACACAGGCTCGGTTTTTCACACCACGGAATATGCGAACCTGTTGCATTTCCAGTATTCCGAGTTTTGGCCTAAAATGGGTGACAGCTGGTAAAATGAATTTAGTTTGACCTTTTTAACTGAGGAGTCATGTTCTTGAGATGATCATCCTGACTTATCAGGCTGATATTCATATCCAAAGCATATATACGGGACAGCCCGATCTGATATGCTTTCAAGAGAGCAGGGCAGGCGCACATACTCTCAACTTTAATGGAAGTCTGAAACAAGGGTCAGTGAGAAATGAGGCTCCTGAGTGCTGCCTCACCTCTCCCCTGCGTTCAGAATTTGCACCCTGCAGCTATACGAGAGCGAGTGCTGAAGTCGCAGCACAGGGCCTTGAAAACTAAAACGTGTGCTGTGGTTTGACCTTTCCCTATGTTAAATACAATATTATCATAAGACGTGCGATCGAGTTGCAGTGCCGTTGCATGATCAGATTCACTGCCACGTGGGCTCTGCGCTCAGGTTCAGCACATGTGAGCTCATTAGTGCTAGCCTAGTATAGCATGCCAGCTGGTATACACAAAACTATTTTATTATTGTAGTCTAGTCTTTTTAGAAGTGAATGTGCAGGGCAATTGTGCCTTTTGTCAAATATTAGGGAAATAATAGCTTTGGCAGTTTACCTCTGACTACTTTCTTGGTCACGTCAGATTTGTATATCTTATTGATTTAGGCAAATTGCATGTGTTTTGGCACACGTGTGCAAATGATTTTTTTGTTTTTTTACAATGGTCTACAATTTAGCTAAATGCACATGGATTGTTGATCAAAAATGATGAGCTTATTTTCAGTGAAAGTGTGACATTTTTTGACATCTTCTAAACAATCTTTCAGCTTGTGAGCCATCACATGCAAATTATAACATTCAATTAAGTGACTTAATAAAAAATATTTTACATGCACGTTTAGTCCATAAATATCTGACATGGAATGTTTGTAATGTCTGCTGAGTATTGTAATGAAATTGGAATCTTAATATTATTAATAACTGAATAAAATTTGGAAGTTTGCCCAGCACAATCAGTATTTTTGAACATGGAGGAACATCAGTGCTATTTAAATACATTTTTATTTATTCAATTTAACACATTTTTTACACAAATAAAAAAATGCTGGGTTATTTTAACCCACTTTTGGGTCAAATATGGACAAACCCAGCTGTTGGGTTAAATTTATAAATTGCATTTTTTAATCCAACAATTGGGTTTGTCCATATTTGACCCAAAAATTGGGTTAAAACAACCCAGCATTTTTTAGAGCACAGTATTGACTTTTCCCAGTATTTTTTTTACTGTTGAAATCTGTATCTAAATTTGTAATTTGTATATAACAAATATTTCTATTGTGAAAAAACATCTAAACATTTTGACCAGTGTGGCTCATGTGATGGAAAAAAAAAAAAAAAAAAAAAAAACACTTTTGTTGGCATTGGTCAATTTTCGGACACAATAGGATAAATGTTTTGGGCAGACATGCAATACTGTTCATTATGTTCCAGCAAACAGTTGTGACGAGTTTAGAGTATGTTAATACTATTTTGGAAAATGTGCCAAAGCAATTGAGCAAAATTATATTTAAGGCTCCTGTGTGCCTTACACAGCCCAGCTTTATTATTAAACCATTAACTTAAGACAGAAAGGTGAGCCAACACAATTTTGAGAGTGGAAAAAAGACTAAATGTTTCTGGTAAAGCAAAATCTGTTGGGAACCACAGCACCCCAATGTAACGTCAAATTAGCTAGAAAAAAAATCAAGTGTGCATAGCTATAACCCAGTTAATTCAGAAATTCTATAATATAGTGCAGTTATATATTGAATTAACAACAGTTTATGCCAATAAAGTAAATTAACTGCATGTAGCCTAATCTTATTTAAATTTACAGGTCTAGCCTAACTTTAATTTAGCCTAACATAAATTTAAATACATTTTATAACAGTGGTCAAGCACTTTTTAGCATGCTGTAGTTTTTAATAACATTTTTGATAGCGTCTTTAAATTCTGCATTGCTTTCTCTCTCTGGCTGTGTCCGAAATTGGATAGCCTACTTATTTTGAATAAGTATGTACTTTGCGACTGCTAAAAAGGTGTGTTCTAGTGTCCATGTGTGTACTGTATGAATGGCTAGGCCAATGCATTCGCCATGTTGTCATTATCATGTGATCCGTTGCGTTTTTCAGGCGTTGCTGCCATATCTATGGTTGCTTCACTGTAGGTCATCCGGGTATTTTTTGCCTGCTCTTTTATGAATACTGATCTTGTATACTGTTTTTTGCATATAGGGGAACTATTTGATTTTGGATTGGATGCAGCCAATAAAAAATGAAATTCTCGAAAAACTGTAAGCTTGTTTCATGAAAATAAAAAGGTAGCCTAATTGCGACTTTTTATTTCACACATCCTAATTTTATTTCACAGATTTGTGTGATATTAAGTCGCAATTGCATGTATCAATTGCATCGAGTTACATCTTTGCGAGTTATAAAGTCAGAATTGTGAGTTTATATATTGCAATTCTGACTTTATAACTTGCAAAGATGTAACTCAGTCGGAAATACCAAGTTGCTCTGGAATATCCACCCATTCCTTCAGTTCAATTGTCTAAAGTTGCAATATTTCACATTGTTGGTATTTGATAGTTTTCACATGATTTTATAATTGGGTTGTTTGTTAAATACAGATAGTATTGCGGTGTTATTACTGTATTATGTTTAATACAGTATCTCTTCAGTTTAAACCAATGCATGCTGTCCACTCAAGTGACCATTTGAAAAACTCTTTGAAAAATATGTAAAAAAAACAAAACAAACAAAAAAACATTTCAGATCTTGTGTTTCATGCTCTATGGGCAATAAAAACATAGGGGAAAAATCCTGAGTGAGGTTATCATAATTCATGCATGTAAGGGTTAAACCATAGACTGTAAAAAGGGTTAAACATGTTTTATTCTTTGGCGAAAAGCTACCATAACATCTTTTCTCTGCTTTCATTTTTGTTTAGCTCCATCTAGCGGTTATGAACACAAAAACCACAAAATAGAGTAGGCTATTACGCAATGACGTAACTTAGGTATGGCCCTCAAGTATTGTCGTTTTTATAGAGTTGTGCATCACAAAAGTATCAAAGAAACGTTTTTTTTATCTCTAAGAAAGTTGACGGTAGCGTTAGGTGCGATAAAATACAAAATTTCGCACACTAGACACGTTGCCGGTAGTAACAAATAACGTTAACAGCTGGAACGGTTGTAAAGGCGGACTACGCTTGAATTGCTCCAAGTACGGTAGGAAAATCCCATACATAATTTGTTTACAAGGTAGATGGCATCATTTTTAAATGATATATATATAATTATTCCCTCTTTATCGTGTTAATTCGACAGCCACTGTACAACTTTTTCCACGGCTTTCAACTATTCATTCAGGCGCCATTTTTATTTTGTCTAAATAAACAAACGTTTATCGCTCAGTCTTAAAGTGCAAATCTCCAAAACGTGCTGCTGTACATTAACAGTATATAATTAGCTGTTAAATCAATGATTAATTGAAGACCGAGCAGTTGGCACTGGTAGAAGGAGAGTACTGTAGGAGGGTCTGGCATGAGATGTGCTGCACATCGTGGTCAGCGAATGTGCCAAATGCCATTCCAGAGCCTCTGCAACAGGAGTGAAGGTTAAGAAACATTGTGGCTCAGAAGACAGATGTCCATGTAGATATTATCATTCTGTTTGAGAGCTGAAATCGCCTGCACGTAGCTATAAAGAGTCCACATTTTTCTGTCAAATTTTAGCTCGGGAAACAAATCCAAAACTCAGAATCAGATAAAGTAACGTTACATTTTTACCCATGTAGCACCATTTGTTTAGACATTTTCACAGAAAATCTATGGAGTCATAAATGACCCATTTTACTGTATCAAGTGTGTCACCATATGGTTATCACAGTAGGTGGATCCTTGTGGTACTTGGCAGCATCAACTGTATAATGACCGACTGCGGTTTTCATGTTGTCCTTAGAGACTTTATAAACGTTCGATTTATGTGCTGGAATGGGGGTTACCTTTGCTTATTCCCTATATGAACTGTATGAAATTGGTGTTACAGTTTTGTGTAGATTAACATAGTCTGTAATGTGTCTTACAGATTTGACTGGCAAAAAGGATCTGAAGAATCTTAGAGAACAAGGTAAGCCTCATGCTTATTAAAAGGGTGGTTGATTGCGATTTCACTTTTTTCAATTTAAAAAGTGTGTAATGTTGCTGTTGGTGCATGAACAGTATCTGCAAAGTTGCAGCGCTGAAAGTTCAATGTAAGCAGAGATATCGTCTTTTAAAAATCAGGAAGTTGAATGCCTACAAAAAAGACTCAAATGGGACTACAACGGGTTTTAGACATCACTAACCCACACATTTGCATCAACCCTCCCTCCGGCATAAGCAAAAAAGGGCATGGCCATATTTCTGCGGCTCATCGTTATTTTCACCCAGCTGTCAGGTCTTCTGTGTTCGGGCTTCCACGGACGTTGTAGTTCGTCATCATTGGATTCAATTTATGTTTGATTATGTTCCTGAAAATGACAGCTCTCTGTGCTGCGCATTTTAAGAAAAACAGCTTCCAGAATCTCCCCGAATTCAATGCCGGATTCAACAAGAAACTGTTATTAAAACATAAAGCAGTTCCAACTTTAAAACCAGTGGCAGCAGTTGTTGGGCCACAACCTGCAAATAGACTAAGACTTAATCATTTTAAACGTATTTGTATGTATAATTTCAGACGTAATGTTTTAGTTTTTAACAAATGCCAGCGCTGGCTTTATAGCCACTAGGCTACTAGTTATGCTATTTCGTGTCTACGACAAACGTGTACAAACATTTTGAACATGCTATTGTGTAAAACAAATGTGTATACATAAAGTTAAAAAAATATAGGCAAATGAAATTACCATTCAGAAACGTTTAGTTAGAGCCGTGTGTGGTGAGGTTCTGCTTGCCTCTCTTCATTGCCGCTTTCTAGGTCTGACTGATTCTGGCTCATACTGATATAACTGCAATATCGACATCATTATTTACATTTGACATGAACTACACATGCAACTTTCGCTTGTAAAGGTAATGGGCGTTAACCTTCTGGACAACATGCACTACAGTTTAGCCAATCACAACACACTGGCCCAAACTAACCAGTCTGAGCCCACTGCCTGTTTCTGAGGGAGTGGTTTCATAGACTCAGGAAGTCAACCACTCGTTCAAATAACAGAGGAGAGCGTGGCTGACAATAAAGGTGAAATTTATGAAAAATACGACTTTTTCAAAAAGAAAAACAATGAACATGTTATATTGCACCCCATAAACACAATCATGCAAAGAACAAACCAAAAAAAAAAAAAAACAGTAAACCACCACTTTAAGTGGTTGCTAGGGAGTTGCTGGTTGGTTTCTGGTGTGTTCTGAATAGAAATAGTTTTTAAGGTTAACTATGCTTTGATTGACATATATGTAGATGACAGAGAGATAGATGGACAGATATATGGATAGATAGATTAATGAACAGATGGATAGATAGATGGATGGATATATAGACGGATAGATATATAGACGGATAGATAGATAGATAGATAGATAGATAGATAGATAGATAGATAGATAGATAGATAGATAGATAGATGGGTAGATAGATAGATAGATAGATAGATAGATAGATAGATAGATAGATAGATAGATAGATAGATAGATAGATAGATAGATAGATAGATAGATAGATAGATAGATAGATAGATATGGCAATATTTTATTTGAACAATATTTCATAGGAACATTATTGCAAAACAAAGCAGAACTGCTTCTCCATATGACAAGACACCTCGGATTCCTGCATATCCAGCTGTCTGACAGGCGTTGTGATGACACAGGAGGGGACATGTTTCCACTTTTCCAAATGATCCAGACATCTCACAGTCTCCTCAGAGGAGCATCTATCCTCCATCACTGTCAGTCATTGGTCTCCTGGGGGCATATGGTTTACTGCCACAGACCTTTTCCTCTTCAGTCATTAGGGTGCCTTGTAAATGAACTTAGACTTATGGACACATCTTGCTGAATGACTCATTCCAGCCCAAATGTGATCTTGAGTTACACATTGCTAAAACAGGAGGACACATTCCCGTCTTCGACGTCCGGAAGCTTTACGATGTAATTAATCAAATGTTGATTCCACAAGGGTCAATAGAGTGTCGGGAGAGACGGATGTCGATTTCTTAGCTAAGTGAAAAAACAAGTGGTGTTGAAGGCAAGGCCCAGTGTGGATGCGCTGGATAAATCCATCAGGAGCGCTGACAACCAGCCGTCAGTGGCTGTACATCTGCGCCCATCTGCCCGAGGCTCGTGTCTTTTATTGCTTTTCATTGCTTTCTTCAGATGAGGGCAGCAGTTCACTGCGACCGAATCTCACATCCCTTGGAAACTGAGGCGATTATTACATTGCAAAATGTAAGATTGATCATTAAATTAATGCTAATTTAGCTTGTTATCATTGTATTGAGAGAACCTGATTGTTGACTGAATTAGAAGAGAACAGTGCCGAGCTCAACATTAAGCATGGTCGATGTGATGACAAAAGGTCTTGTTTAATTGTACTTTACAAACCTGAACATTCGGTTTTCTGTCATGTAGCCTAGTATTGAAGATTGTTGGGTAACACTTTACTTGAAGGGGTGTGCATAAGACTAACATGACACTTTCATGACATGCTATGAATATGAAGGAAGTTTTATGCATGTTTGTGACAACTGTCAATAAGTGTACTAAGACAACACAACCTGTCTTAAACACGACATAGCAGATTAATGATCAAACTTAAGAAACCACCTAGCTTTATTGGTTAACATTACATTAAACTGTCAGGTGGTTGGTTTTGACATTGGCTGTCATGAAGCCATTATAACTCTTTAATGACAAATTCAATTAGTACCACTGTAGTTGAGGTCACAAAAAATATACATGTCACACTTATAATGCCTCATGACAGCCAATGTCAAAGCCAACCACATGACAGTTTAACTTGTCATGACAAAGACACTGACAGGTTATGATGTTATGGTTTATGTCAAGATGTCATAACAAAGACATCTTAAACAATGTCATATTTGCATTCAAAATGTCATTATTGAGCGAAAGACACTTAATGACAGTTGTCACAAACATGCATAAACCCTACTTCATATTCAAGACATATGTCATGTCATGGTTATGAAGGTGTCATTTAAATTTAAATGGTTTAAGATTTAAATGGTATCCATGATAAATCAATGTAAATTGGTTTAGATGAAGGTTGGTCAAATTGCAAGAAGCATCAGTAAGAAGCCATGTTTTTCAAGCCAAAGCCACAGATTCAAAAGTTCGGAGTCGATTTTTTTATTTATTTATTTTTTATTTTTTTATGTTTTTGAAATGACTCTCATGCTCACCAAGGCTTCATTTGTTCCATTAAAAATACAGTAAAAACAGTAATATTGCAATAATAATTGCAATTTAAAAATAATTTTGTATTTAAATATATTTAAAAAATGTATTTATATATTATAAAAATAGATTAAATATATAATATATTATAAAAATAGATTAAATATATATTATAAAATATATTAAATATATTTAAATATTATAAAATATATTTATGCAAGTCTTAGCATCATTACTCAATTCTTAAAGGAGTAGTTCACTTTAAAAAAAAAAAACTTTTGCTGATAATTTACTCACCCCCATGTCATCCAAGATGTCCACGTCATTGTTTCTTCAGTCGAAAAGAAATTAAGGTTTTTGATGAAAACATTCCAGGATTTTCTCTCTATAATGGACTTCATTGGGAACCAAACGGTGCAGCTTCAAAGGGCTTTAAAGGACACCAGACGATGAATAAGGGTCTTATCTAAGACCCTTCGAGTCATTATTCGAAAAAAGATTAGTTCATTTTGATGAACGAGTTTGAACAGGAGAGTCACGAACGCTCATCACTGAAAGGAGCAAGGCGACCATTTGAGCTTATAAAACTTAAACTTTTTTATTTATTTTTGAAATGAGCGATCGTTTCACTAGATAAGACCCTTATTCATCGTCTGGTGTCGTTTAAAGCCCTTTGAAGCTGCACTGAAACTCTCATTTGGACCTTGAACCGTTTGGTTCCCAATGAAGTCCATTATATGGAGTTAAATCCTGGAATGTTTTCATCAAAAACCTTAATTTCTTTTCGACATGGGGGTGAGTAAATTATCAGCAAACGTTTTTTTAAAAGTGAACTACTTGAAAAAGTGAAACTTTATGTTGAACCATTCAATTATCAGCAGTGCATGTATAAATCTACTGGACCAGAATAAAATAAACTAATTGAAATATGAAACAAAAACCCATTTTAATTTGATTAATATTTATAAACAAACACACTTTATAATCTTTATTAAAGTTCGAATAATCTTACGATTCACAATTTTCCGTCTCTAATTCAAAACCTGAAGGGCGTCTGTCAACTTGATTGAAAATTGTCATCGTTGGATTGCTTTTTCTGGCAGACAGGCCATAGAAAAGGAGCAGTGATGGAACAACAACAGAAACAGACTAGGTGAGATGTCAATAGCATAAAAGACATCATCGGTCATCATCGCCCGTCTTCAACCTCGCCATTAATATTCGACCTGATGCCTCATGGCAGAGTGTATTTTCAGCTCATCACTCAAACCAAGCGTTTCCCCAGCTGCTCCAGAGTTAGTGTGAAGATGCAGATGTTTGACCACACCTGGCAGCCGTCCCTCTTCCCCCTTGTTCAAGGTGCTTCCCTCCCTGTCCGAGCGCACGCAGCTCTACCCGGCTCCCCCGCAGCTCGTACGGATATGGGGAAGCCTGGTGACTGAGATGAGCTATGCGTTTCCCCCCGGAGTCATGCCGAGCGTGATTCATAGCGCGCGGAACGGGATGGATTACGAAGAGATGCACCTGATTATGTTAAAGCGCTTATCGATAGTTTCACGTTCAGGCTTTTCAGAACCCACGCTTAATTGCATGTGGCAAATGATCCAGAATCCACGGCGCATTATCTCAACTGAAATGTTATTGCTCAGGGACTTATAATCTCCCACAACCCTCTGTTCATTTCAGAGCAGTTCCCACCTGGTTTCCATGGCATCTGTCCAACTCACAGCAGGAAAGGAAGCAGATCTCGGCAGTGCTGAGTTCGCCCTCTTCTGGACGGAAGTGAGGGCTCCAATAAGCCTCGGTCTAATTAGCCATGCTGTCAAAACATTTCTGCACAAGTGCTTTTCGAAAACTCTGCTGCATGCTCACGCTGAACTATTCCGAGGGGAGATTTGTTCATTTGGGCTTATGTAACACTGCAGCTTGCTGCCATTACAGGAAAAACAAATGAAAAGGTCAATCGATAGTAAATCCAAGCCAGAAAGAAACTGCTCTGATCAGGTCCCACATTGCTCATTCCAGGTATTAGAGATTTAAAACTCAACCTTTTCGTGTAAAGCAATTGGAAATAAGAGAGTCAAACGTATAAAAGCAAGCACTTTTATTTGTTTGAACAGATACATAGATTTTATATTGTACACTTTTTTTTTTGTTGTTGCTATTTTGTGTTCTTATACATGTACTAACCGTGGTTAAAAAAGGCAACTGTTAATGGAAACAATGGCAAGTATACAATACAATTAGCAAACATATCAAAATCAGTTTTTACAACATTTTTAGCAACCAATTCTTTCTATTGGTCTGCCATAGTGCAAACTGTGTGGTTTGAAGACAGAGTGGTAGCGTGATATTAACATTCATATTCCTTACAGTCCCGACGTCTCTGTCTCGAACACGTTTTAATGTGTAGACCGCATTCACAGCGCCTCTGCTTCAAGTCCTTCTCTCCCTTAATGTCGATTTCAATAATACTTCAAGTGTGTAGGGCTGTTCGACAGATGAGTAGTGGTCAAAAGCTACGATTAACAATGTGTTTATTGCAGTGTGTGCGTCAGATAACCCTATTCAAGCTCTGTTCAATGTTCGAGAGTCCCTCTCTGTTTCTCTTGGATACTCTTCTTAAACAAGCTCACTGGTTACAGCAAAGATCTAAATGATTGTATTTTGGAGTGGTTGTGTAATATATTTTTTTGTTGTTGTATGTTGTCTGTGTGTCCTAATGATAGTATTCTGACAAGGTGAAAACATGAAATAAAGCAGAGAATGTCATCCATTTCAATAGTGTCCATTCCCAATACATTCCTTTAGTATATCCACGTGACATTGGACTCCTGTGGCTGAGATACTGATTTAGAGGAAAATGACAACAACAACAACAACAACAACAACAAAAAAACATTGTCAGATGAAGCGGTGCCCAGAGAGTGAGTGAGCGTCCTTCTATTGCACAGTGTCTTGCGGAAAGCACTGATAATGGATGGCGGGTGGTGTGATGATCAGATGTCCGGGTCTTTGAGACGGATCAAGTCCTGTCTGGGCACTGGTTCACGAGCAGCCACAGCGGTCTACTACCATTGACGGGATCTTGCCGTAGATGATCTGCTCTTTGCCGTTGAAGTATAGCATGTTGATGGGAGACATCTTGGTGGGGGTGCAGCAGGGCCCGGCGGTGCCTCGCGGATTGGCCTTGTTCACCAGATGGGTGTGGGGATACTTCTGCAGGTGCATGTAGTCGCATTCTCCCGAACAGTAATTCGCCTTATAGCGTTTTGGAGCAATAATCCAGTCCCAGCCGAAGTCCTCGAAGTCCACAGTGAGAGGGTATCTGCAGCACCGAGACTCGGAGGAATTCTCGTCGCAGTCCAGTCCGGAGTCCCTCCGGATTCGCTTTGGGCCCTCTGAGATTTTCACCTCCATAAAGGGGAGCTGTGAGAGAAAGAACCCAAAAGAGCCAGCGTTTCATAATGGGCATCAACAAGACAACTCTCAGTCTGACCTTGAAATTGCTTTGTCCAACCATTAGCGAATGCGAAATCTAACCAAATCGGATTTGATTAAGAAAGGGAAAGGATTGAATTATTCTGGTTCCGATTCCCGTTCCTTAATGATGCCATTAAGGATTCTTGTAGTAAAAAAACTAAATTCATTCAGGTCATACTCCCCAGAAAATCATGAGATCATTTTGTTTTGAGACACATTGTTTTGCTTTTTAAATGGGTTTTCACAGACAAACATTACTTTTATAATGTAGCCTACCACTGATTACAACAGAAGTTGTCTTGTGAACAACCACTAACTACTCTGATTCAAGTTTCAGGAGTCTTAACATAATACTATTTTCAGTTTCGAGTCAAATATCAGAAAGTAACTCGCAATTTAGTGAGTCAGTTTAACTCTGTAACTGTTTCGACTTATTCATAAGTGTTAATCGGACCGTACTAAGCGTGCTGTTGATTCATTACAAGAAATAGGTCAAAAATAATCGTTAGTTCTAAAACCGAATTACTGTGGTCGCGCTTTTCGTTTTTGATTCACTAAAAAGAACCGGTTTGAACGAATCATTCGTTCAGGATTCGGACTACTATTACAAAAACATTCATGACTGATCACTGAATGTTCCGCGCTTTAAAACATACAATTAAGAACATTTTTACATTGGTGCTACAGGCACTACTTTTTTGGGAAATTGCTGATTCGAAACAGCCATATAAATAATTTCTTGCTTATCATTCACAGCAACTAGCCTACTATTGACGGAGTTCTGTCTAAATGTGGTTGTATTGTGTAAAAAAAAAACCCGCACATTTGGTAACACAACAACTCAACTTACCAGTCCATCCTCGCCAGCCTCAGCGGAGGTAACGGCCAAGTCGTTTCCCTTCGCGTCATACGCGTTTATCTCGATGCCCCAGTTGGTCTCCGGTTGTCTTAACCACACCGTGAGCACCTGCTTTACGTCTATACTCTGCCAAGAGGTGACTCCTGCGTTCACATCGATCTTCAGGGATCGTATTCGTATGTGTCTTCCTCCGTCCGTAACGGGCATCAGCCGTGATATCTGTAAGAAGACGGTGGTCACTTCATCCGCCGGTCTCAGATGAACCCAGACCTGCGCTCTTACGATCCGGTTCGCTTGGATTTTCGGACTGAATGAGAAAAAACAACACTTCGGTTTCCGATCTACTTGAACGATGGGGTCAGCTGGAAAAAAAAGAAGAGAAAGTAAATTAGAGTGATTATACGGGGGCTACTGGTTTTCCATAAAAGCGGTCCATACAATGACGCACTGATGTAGGCTAATTGAAAAAAAAGTCACATTTAACTTTTAAAGAAATAACGATGACTACGCCCACAAAACAAATATACATTATAGGCCCTATACATTTATATGTAATAATTAGACATAAACACACTATATTAGTAGGCTATACGGAAGCTATTTATATCTTTAAAAACGAATGGATGGGCTACAGATATTATGTCTATATTTAGGCATTACATATAAAGGCATTAAGACATAATACACAGTTTAACCTAAAAATTGACTGAGATGTGAACCAATTTAAACTACAGTTTGCATATCACGTGTGGTAAAGGTGAAAGCGTTTTCTTCTGACCGACGCTGGTGCGCTTTTGCTGCGCTTCCATGTTCGGCGTGCGTAAAATTGCTTTAGCAAGGTTGAAAATACTGGCGCAAAGCCTTAAAAAATAGGAATAGACAATTAGGTATACGTCGTATTTGTGCATTTTATGCACAATAGCTGCCTCGTGAGTGCTACTGGCTTGGGCGTAAAGACTGCGTAAAGGGTCTCTCCAAGTAGACTCTTTGTCCGTTAAGAGGATTGTAGCTACATTTACATGAATGAATCTTTGAAATAGTTGATCCTTACGCTCTGTGGCCATAGTCATGATGGTCTCTGTGGTGGCATGTTCATCATCCTCTTCCATAGCTCCATCCTTACTGTCATCCCCCAGAACATCGTACTGATCCAGAAGTTCTTGTAAAGGCGGTGCTTTGGGTAACAGCTGCTTGACCACGTCCCGGCTGATGTTTGGAGCCTGTTTGAGTCGGAGTTTGCTAAGAATTTGGGACTTGATGGCATGCAGTCTCATCAGCTTGCTGTGTTGCCTGAACTCACATGTGGAACACTGTTCGCTTTCCTCCGTGGCTGTGGAAGGCTGCTGGGGCGCCGTTATATCTCCATTACCCACTGGACCACATGCAATTAGCACACTTAGAGAAATTAAAACCTGCGTAAAATGCATGTTCCAAGGCGTGCTAAAGGATGTTTGCTATGTTTGATCTGATTTGCTATGGAAATGAACCTCACCACGCACCGGACAAGTAGATGTCATGCTTAAATTCGGCAAGGCTTTTTATACTGCAACTTTGGCCACTCTATTGTGTCGTAAGATTCAATGATTGGCTGAGCTGGCAACAATAAACCTAATGGACAGAGCTGGACTTCTTTCGCAGTTCTTAAAGAGGTATGACACATCTTAGAGGACTCGTGGAGGAACCAGTCTAACTTGAAAGCAAATTATGCACATGTATATATAAAAAATACGCACTTTTATTACAGTATTTCAGTGCGTGCATCCAGGATGCTCCCTGTGTGTCGTCAAACGCAACTGACTCAGAACGTAAAGGCTATATTTAATATTTATGAATATAACATCATAAGCAACAGAATATTTGTTTTACTATTTTATTAAATTGGCAATAAAAGCCACCTTGATGGCCTACTCTACTTGACATTTACATTTGAGCAGCATGATTTTGTTGGTAAAAAGGTTATTGGCAGCCTGGGCTCATATGGGCTCATCTGCTAATGTGAATAACTGCTAAAATTGCAGTATGTTCATTTGTATAATATTCACGTTGCTTCTGTCAATGCAACGCAAAATAATTTCGCCACGTGTTTATTTCTTAACAGTAACATTGAATAATCACAATTCATCTTTGCTGCAGCTTAGGCCTGTTTGGTTTATTAGATCTGTGGGTAAGATAGATAGCGCCATCTTGTGGATCGTCTTGTGTAAATCGCGTTAATAATCAGGTCCTGATATTAAAGCGATAGTTCACTTTAGCTTACCTTGAGGGCATCCAAGATGTAGGTGTCTTTGTTTCTACAGTACAGTATTTTCAATTTTGATATTTTTAGGTCAAACCGTTGTTGTCTGTCAGTCATATAATGCAGGTATATGGGGTCCACCTTAAAGAGCATGCACAGATAAGTCCAAATTAAACATGATTTAATGACTCATAAATGTAAGTACACAATGATGGCCTAAGACACGAAACGAGCGGTTTGTGTGAGAAAACAAACACTATTTATATCATTTTTACCTTTTGTAACCAAAGCCACAAAGCGTCCGCGCCCTCAGATCACTTGGACGTGGCTGTGGTTACAAGAGATAAAAACTATATAAATACTGTTCATTTTCTCACACAAACCGCTCGTTTCGTGTCTTAGGCCATCAATGTGTACTTACATTTACAAGTCATTAAATCATGTTTAATCTGGACTTCTCTGTGCATGCTCTTTTAGGTGGACCCCATATACCTGCATTATATGACTGACAGACAAGAACGGTTTGACATTAAAATATCAAAATTGAAATTACTGTGGAAACAAAGACACCTACATCTTGGATGCCCTTGAGGTAAGCTAAAACATATCAAAAAATAATTTCAAAGTGAACTATCCCTTTAAGTTTTGCACAGTGCGAGTTATTTGTAAATGGATAGGTTACGTAATAAGGATAGGTAACATACATACATAGCCTAATAAACACAAATATAAACAAATATTCTACAACTTCTCATTTACATCAATGTGTTGGCTCATGATTCATGACAAAATATGTAGGCGTAATTAAAAATGAGTTAGGGCTTACCATGGAATAGGCCTGATCGTTTAATTGACCAACACATGTGGGCAATTAAATGCTCTACAAAACGCTATTGACTTTTGTGCCTGAAGCAATACGTCTATGTAATAAACTTAGGTGATGTTTTTATTTATTTTAATGTATGTGCTAAGTGGTTTATGTGAGGCACCATGTGAGCTCAAACTAATTGCCCCACAGGGATTAATAAAGCTCTAAACTAAAAAAACTAAGCTGTGAATTGATGTTGTCCAACCGATTTCACATTAGGCTAGCCTACACCTCATATAATCTGTCCATCTGACATAATAACAATTTGTGCATTTATTTATTAGGTAAGTAGCCGGGATAATGTGCAGTCATCCGGTCATTATCGCAAAA